TTTGTACCAGCCACTCAACATTCACCACTTGCCCAAAGCGGATGAACTCGGTTGCTTTATGAAAATGTAGCAGTTTGCGTCCTAATAGCTTCTGTTGCACTTCTTATTCTCCCTCACGCCTTCAACATCTTCATAATCATTCAATCTTCATCATCAGTCGTCATTGTTTTCATCAGATTCATTACCAGCAGCTTATTTAAATATTCCTCAAAATGTTACTTAAAAAATGGCAGACTCTCCTCAACTATTAACCTTTAGTGCAGCACCACTGAAACAAACCGCTGGCAGACAAATCAAATTAATATATTTTTCCGAAGTTTTAGGAGTTTTCCAATAAAGAGCGACGGCTACCAATAAATAACAAGTTAACTTTTCGTTACATCCCAAGTTTGTCGACTGGTAAATTCATCATAATTTTCCAGCTAACTTCACACCGTATTGTTGTAATTGCATTTTGGTCTTGGCTAAAGTTCAGTAAACTTCCACTGACCTTTCGGTTTCAATTGTTTTTTAGGGCGTCACATAAATCATTTAGTTGATTCGCAGCAAAATAATCATTTAGAGACCTTAAAGATAGCAATTATTCGCGTCTACAGGGAAATTTGAAGAAGTTGATCTTGAAAGTGGTTTAGTTCAATAAATTGCAACTTTTGCAAGAAATGCATCCGATATATCAAAAGAAGCGACTGGGGGTGTGTGACAATGTAATAAAAAGGGTCAACGAGAAGGATTAACGGATGAACTGTTCTTGTTGAAGACATAGAGCTACTGCTACTAGCTAGCATATTAGCGACGAGGGACTTGCGACGACCTATTTCCCCTTTTGCAATATTATCGATACGGGCAAATATATGTAGTTTATTTGGCCTTATAAAGTTCCTCGTCAATATCGTCTTTTACGTCTTGGAATTCTTTCCGTTTGGGGACATTAGAACAACTCGTCTAAATGGTAATAGAAAATAGTCAATCGGAAGCGTATTTCCACTACGAGTGTTTTCGCTTATTTGATATCAGTGGCGCACTCGAATCATCATCACTGAACTACATGATAAGGGTAATTCCTAAGTTGATACTTTCTGAAAATTGTCTCTTTTGTGTTGTTATTGTCACATTTTGCATCATCCAACACCTACAGGTTCCGAGTTAGACTTACTTGCTTAAATCACGTGTAGGAATTTAAAAATAAATATGTACACTTTTCAGGTGTTAGAAATTGGCCTCTAACCACTTTCAAGTCACACAAGTTAATTCAGTTTCCATCTCATTTTGACGTCGGGATCAATTTCAGCTGCAGATAATTTTCGAGCTTCCTCCATAAAGCGCAAAAAATGTCACTTCCAGGAGTCCGTACTTATGAAAAACACTTCAGGAAAAACAAGAGAACGATGTGGAATGACAAAACCGACATTCTCCTCCAGAGACATTAGATATACAAATATTGACTTTATGTTATTCCGGCCTTTGTGCCACGAATTGCCTAAGGGTTTAGCAGGAGCGACAAAAACGTAAAATATATATTTTTAAAAGAATTGCCCATTGTTCCAGAAACCCCATTTATTTCGCTGTATGACACTTGTGATCTTCCGCTTTTTGCTTCTTTAGTTAACACAAGCTCATCAAATAGACGATTACGTTGCGCCACCACCGCTATTCGTTCTTAATCAGCGAAATTGAGTTAACGTGTGGAACTG